TTCATTCCGAAGTTTTCTTGAGGTAATAAAAGATTTAAGCTTGAAGCTAGTTCAGCGTTTATAATAACAGGATAGACAGACATCTTCCTCCATTCTAAAACATTTGTCTGAGACTGGCCATAAGGCTGATATCAAGTCAGCATTTGTAGTGTTGTACAGAAGCCTCGAGAGCGTATACTAAGGTTTATTTAAGCCTTGACTATACAGAAACTGAAACCCTTTTTATGTATTCAAAAACAATTTGATCTTACCCTGGTAATACAGATTTATTATCCAGAGTGGTCATCACATTGCTTTTGTGTACTTTGTTTTCTTTGTTACGGCTTTGATTTAATCTATTTAGTTGACCTATTAGTTTTTATATAAAAATGTCTTAACAAGTGTATATGTAATCAGATGATTCGAAATGTATTGCTCATATATTTCGGATAATTATGATAACCTTTGTCTTCTCATTGCATTATCGAAATTTATCAAAGGCGCTAATTGTTATAATAAAAAAGTCAATTTTTTCAATGGAGTTCAATTATAATTCAGTTTAATCTGTTGATAATTACCTTACGTTCTAAATACCTAAATTCACTAGTCATAATCAACTATCAGGATGTGAGTTGATAAAGAGTTATGATTTCATTTATTTTTGATATTCAATACGAATCGTAATACATTTGGAAATTCGTTTCATACAATTATTTATTGATTAGATGGTAATGGATCTCATGTATGAAGATAGAACGTTATTCATCTTTAACTAATACATAAACCCCTATAGTCCAGTTGTCTTCTTTTCATTCAAGTTCAATTATGTCATCATTTATTATATATTTTATAAAGATTATTTAAAATTCACACACTTATTTATAATTCAGGTTTATTTAATAATGAATAATGAGTTTTACTTTACTTACTTACTTTCGCCTGTTACTCCCAATGGAGCATAGGCCGCCGACCAGCATTCCCCAACCCGCTCTGTCCTGGGCCTTCTTTTCTAGTTCCATCCAATTCTTGTTCATTTCTCTCATGTCCATTTCCATTTCTCGGCGTAATGTGTTCTTTGGTCTTCCTCTTCTCCTTTGGCCTTCAGGATTTCATGTGAGAGCTTGTTTTATGACGCAGTTGGGTGCTTTCCTCAATGTGTGTCCTATCCTCTTCCAGCGTTTCTTCCTGATTTCTTCCTCCACTGGGATCTGGTTGTTAGGATAGTCGGAAAAATATACTAATAATTATCGTGTTAAGTCTATGGTGGCCTTGGATTTTAAATGTACATCCCCTATTGGCTATTATTTAATTCATTCGTTACATATTGTGTAAATGTTGTTTTCTGTTTTTATGGTACGATGTGGTTTGTTTGTTTGGTATATAAATAGAGTATATCTGAAATACAATGATTCATAACTCAGAGGCTGTGACTTGCGTTCTTGACTCAACTGGCTGGGCTAGACAGAGAAGTGGGACCAATCAGGGCACTAGGTTGTTCCTACGTGTTTTACGTGTCACTGTGATCGATCGATAAATACGCTGCTCCATCTAACCGTGCAATCTACACGTTACAACACTGGTTTGTTCTTTTCCACAATAGATTGTTGCTAACAGTGTCCAGCCAACGGATCCGAAGTATTTTGCGTAGACAATTGTTAATAAACACCTGTATCTTCTGGATGACGGCTTTCGTAGTTCTCCAAGTTTCTGTCCCATACAGTAGAACTGTCTTGACATTTGTATTACAAATCCTGACTTCGATGTTGGTTGACAGTTGCTTTGAGTTCCAGATGTTCTTCAGTTGTAAATATGCTGCTCTTGCTTCGCCATCCGCGCCTTCACATCTGCATCAGATCAACCCTGTTCATCAATGATGCTGCCCAAATATGTAAAGGTTTCTACATCTTCCAAATCTTCTCCGTCAATTGTGACTGGATTGGTGCATTCTGTGTTGTATCGGAAAATCCTGCCTTTCCCTTTGTGTATATTGAGACCTACTGCTGTTGAGGCTGCTGCTACACTGGTCGTCTTCTCCTGCATTTGTTGTTGCGTTTGGGATAGAAGGGCCAGATCATCTGCAAAGTCTAGATCATCCAGCTGCATCCTAGATGTCCATTGTATCCCGCGTTTCCCTTCAGATGTTGACGTCTTCATGATCCAGTCGATCACCAGGAGAAAGAGAAAGGGTGAGAGTAAGCAACCTTGCCTAACACCGGTCTTCACTTCGAACGACTTTGTCAACTGTCCTCCATGCACAATTTTGCAGTGTAATCCATCATATGAGTTCTGTATGATATTGACTATTTTCTCAGGCACGCCGTAGTGTCGAAGAAGTTTCCATAGTGTTGTTCTGTCCACGCTATCAGATGCTTTTTTGTAGTCAATGAAGTTGATGTAGAGTGATGTATTCCATTCAATTGATTGTTCCACAATGATCCGTAGAGTTGCGATTTGGTCTGTACACGATCTATCCTTACGGAATCCTGCCTGTTGGTCACGAAGTTGGGCGTCTACGCAGTCTTTCATCCTGTTTATTAATACCCTGTTGAAGACTTTTCCCGGTATTGAGAGAAGAGTGATGCCCCTGTAGTTATTACACTTGCTAAGATCGCCTTTCTTTGGTATTTTGGTCAGAAGTCTTTCTTTCCAGTCTGTTGGTACTTGTTCCTCATCCCAAACCTTATTGAAGAGTATGTGGAGTATCCTTGCAGTTGCCGCTACGTCAGCTTTTAGTGCTTCTGCTGGAATGTTGTCTGGTCCTGCTGATTTGCCACTCTTGATTTGCCTGATGGCCATGCTTATCTCTTCAATTGTTGGTGGGCCAACATTGATCGGGAGGTCCGTGGGTGCTGCTTCGAAGTTGGGTGGGTTCAGTGGGGCTGTTCAATTCAAGAGTTCTTTGAAGTGTTCTACCCACCTGTTTTGTTGCTCTTCAATGTTGGTGATTATCTTTCCTTCCTTGCTTTTCACTGGTCGTTCTTGTTTGCGGCGATTTCCAGAGAGTTTCTTTGTCGTGTCATACAATTGTCTCATGTTTCCTTCTCTTGCAGCCTTTTCCGCCGTCGTTGCTAAATCTTCCACATATTTACGTTTGTCGGTTCTGATGCTCCTCTTCACTTGTTTGTTTACTTCTGTGTATTCAGCTTGTGCCTTGTCTTTTTCTGCTCTTGTTCGACTGGTATTGATTGCTGCTTTCTTTTTCCTCCTTTCTTGGATCTTATCCAGTGTATCAACAGTGATCCATTCCTTGTGATGGTGCTTCTTGTGACCCAGGACCTCATGACATGTTGAAGTGATTGCCTCTTTGATCGCCTTCCAGTCGCTCTCCACAGTAGTTTCTTCTCCATTGAGTAGATCATGAAAGGCCTGGAACTTGTTGCTGAGGACTATCTTGAATTTGTTGAGTTCATCAGTGTCCTGAAGAAAGGCCGTATTGAACATTTGTGATGTTGTCCGCCCCGTTGTGCAGTGCTTCTTGAGTTTCAATTTCATCTTGGCGACCAGCAAGTGATGATCTGAGGCTATATCAGCTCTTCTCTTGGTCGATTCGGTTTTGCGTGGTGTGATCCGGTGAAGTCCATGTGGTTTTGTGAATGCGCTTATGTGGGAATATGGTGCCGCCTATGACCAGTTTATTGAAGGCATATACGTTTGCAAATCTCTCACCATTTTCGTTTCTTTTTCCCAGTCCGTGTCGTCCCATGACGTCTTCATATCCAGTGTTGTCCATTCCAACCTTGGCACTGAAATCTTCCATCAGAATAGTCAGGTTCTTTGTTGGGCACTTCTCGACGATTGACTGCAGCCTATTGTAGAATTGATCTTTAGCGTCTTCATTGTAGTCGTTGGTAGGCGCATATCATTGGATGATGTTCATTGAAATGCCTTCTTTCTTTGTTTTGAAGGAGGCTTTGATGATCCTTGGTCCATGAGATTCCCATCCTATAAGTTCATTTTGTGTTTGTTTGGACAGCATCAATGCAACTCCTTGTGTATGTGGTGCATTTTCTTCTTCATGGTCGGAGTATAACAGAAGCTCTCCTGAAGTTAGTCGGTGTTGTCCAACTTGCGTCCAATGTGTTTCACTGATCCCAAGCACCTCTAGGTTGTAACTCCTCATTTCTGCAGCGATTTGGAAAGCTCTCCCGGTGTCCCACATTGTACGAGTATTCCATGTACCTAAATAAATGGTCGCTCTGGTTGTCAGAAGAGGCATCGGTCTCGTAACTTCCGAAGGAATTCAGCTTTCATCATGAGGCGTCATAGTTCTTCTAAATGAAGACCTTCTGACTCCCAGGGCATAGTTTAAAAGGTTTGAATAATTTTTTCTGGTTAGCGTTTTTTAGCGAGTTAGTTTTCTACGGGATGGGGTCGCTAACCCCATGCCCAACCCTCCTCCTTTATCCGGGCTTGGGACCGGCAGTAGCCACCGGAGGGACTCCAGGCGGAGTTGAATAGTGAGTTACTACATTGTAATTAATATTAAACATATTTTCACCACTGAATTTGATTACTCGCTCTTGAAACATGATCTTTAAGTCACATTATTATTATTATTATTATTATTATTATTATTATTATTATTATTATTATTACTATCAATATCATTGTATTTAGGTTTTTTCCTATAAACCCAATACATTTTTATCATTATAAGTTCAATGAACCAAATCTAAGAAAACTCCAAGAAATAACCAATCATATATAAAACCAATTGAGATATATTCAGTCGATGCTGTTTTACTTGTATCTTCCTACTGTTATTTAGGACTGCATTCGATCAGTCTCATGTTGGCATATGTGCATACTGTACGGATTGCTTCGATATAACCCTTAGTCACAAGCATTTTAAGCAAAGATCGATAGTGTCTAGTAATCAAATCCAGTTTGACGCGCGTTCTGTCCTATTTAATACTCGTCAGCTGAATATCTCTGCATCCCAGAGTTGATGTTCACTCCGGGACTCGAACCCAGTACCGTCACATACATTTTTGAAAAAATTATAAAACAGAAAATTTTTTCACAAAGTGAAAATAAATTATGTATTAAAAGAAACTTGTTAAAAATTTTATTCAATGAAGCAATGACATTTTAATAAAATCCAATGATACTTTAACTAGAGGTTCATTGAAAAAAAGAAAGAAGAAAACAACCTCGATTCATTTTTATTAAAGTAATGAAGGAAACGTGTTATTAATTATAGAAATTGATCAATAAAGAATGAATAGTAAGCAGTAAAACAAAAGACTCAAAGGTCAATGATCAATATTATTCCTATTACAATTAATTTTCTATTTTCTTATTATATAATAAATAAATTACATAGTCTTCACTGGGAAATAGATTTTATTTAACAAGAGTTAAATGATGTTTACAATTATTATAATTTAGGCGTTTTAATTGTCTTATGCAATGAAACAATAAGAATATTCAGTAATGATTTAATTATTTATCCAATAGTCTAAATGCAAGTATATTCACATAGAATAAATAAATAAAAATCATAACAATGAATGAATTTCATATTATTTTTTATTGTATAAACAGTTTAATTTAGATCCTATTTATTACCTACTGATATCCTTAAAAAAGTAGTAAATAAAGATGTTTAAACAAAAAAATATACCCATTACTACTCTTAACCTACATGTTCTTAATTGGGCATTTTATTACATTTTCGTTTATTTGTTTTTCATGATTTATTTTCTTTTTTACAAGCATTTCTACCCTGAATTATTCAAATCCAAAAGAAAAACAGAAAAAAACTTGTTTTTTTTATCACAATTCCTTAGGTTTTAAAACAATGAAACTGACCAATGAAGCAAATATATGTATATGTGTAGGAAGAAGAAAGGAAATTAACATTTAGGTTAAGGCAATTTTTTTCAAAATTAACATGTAAATTCATTTTGTGTAATTTCTGATAAATTTTTCATTAATCCTTCTAGATTAGCCATTTCTTGATTTAATTCTTCTGTACTGAAACCTTTCTGTAAAACAGTAGAGAAAAAGAAAATGAGAATGAATATAAAAGTTATTTTTAAGAAAATCTACATATTGTGTTATAATTGTTCATTAAAATGAACTAAACTAATATTTGAATTGGTTCTATGTTAACAAAAAATTGATGCGTACTTCGAATTCAAGCATTTGAACTACAGGAACAAAAATTAATAGAACCATTAGTGATACATCTCAGTATTTATTTAACCTTGATTGTTTGTGAACACAAGAATGTAAATTTTTTTCAGAAGGGGTTTTGTGGAGATTGTAGTAATTTCGATAGTTGAGATCATGAGTCAATTGAAACTAGACCAACATAGAAAACTCAGAAGTATTGGACGACGGTCCCGTCCTATTGTGGGACTTCTCAACAGTTCGCATCCACGATCCTGCCTTGCGGGATTCGAACCCAGGACCTATGAGTATCGCGCGCGAGCACCTAACCACTACACCACTGAACCGGCCTGCATCCAACGATGTTAATGTCTAAATTCAGCCAATCCAAAAAGTTGAACGATACATCAACCATAGTCATCAGTGAGTTACTATCTCACAACTGACCCGGTTGAGATCCATTGGTCACTGCTTCGTGCTAATCAGCATATGCTCACTAGTGACTGGCTTCAAGATGTATATCCTGGAGTTCTGGTGAGAAGCAGTGGCCAGTGGATTTCAACTGGGGCAGTGGTGAGTTAGTACCTCACTGATGATAATAGTGGATATGTCGCTGAGTTTCGTAAATTTTGTCGTTGTTAATATTCTGGACTGTAATTAATCAGTCTCTATTGACATTTGTGCATTTTCAGCGGAATCCCTTGATGTCGCGTTCAGTTACTTATATTACGAAATATTTCGATTTCGGCTACCAGTTAGATTCAGAACATTCGTTTAGACCTAATTTTGGAGTCGACAAGTAAAGGTAAACGTTTACCTTGATTTACTTTCAGTCATGTTAATTCAAAAACAGTGATTCAATTACATTTGGGTAAGATATCATCTATTTAATCACTTTTTCACCAAGGAATATCAAATATCTGAAAAATGATTAGTTTAAATCTGATATGAATGTATTAATATTTGTGTGGTTTTTGTAAAGATTACATTTATCCGTGTACTGATTCATAAAGATAATACCTTCAAATAGATCTAGGGCACATTATCACATGTAATTGAAAATGAGATCAAAGATCACTTTTATTATTATGATCAACGCATGTATAATTCTCAAACTTTCAATAACTGGTCTATCAAATATAATGTTATCAAATCATATATCTGTTTGTTAATCATACAGAATTTACTTACCATCATTTCCTGTTCAGAAATGCTATCTGGTGTATCTGGAGTTCTATCATGTTTATTAAGTTCTAAACCATAATTTGATTTTGTTGAAAATACATTCTGTACAGTACTATAAGTAATAGTGTTTGAAGAAAGAGTATTAGTTGGTGTTGTTATTGTTGTTGTAGTTGTTGTCATTCTTTTCATAATTGTCGGCGACTGCATAATTTTATTTTTAATTTCTATTTTATCCGATAAATAATCATCATCAGTTAAATTAAGTATTTGTAATCGATTAATCGGTTGATCGGACAATTTATATTGCATTAGTCTTGCAAATTGTCCTGATCGATGTTGCGGTTCCGGTGTCGGTACACGATCTAATACGAATGATGCATCAACACTATGTACATTTGTATTCATATCTATCAGTTTCACTTTATTTGGATAGTTTACATGTTTTTCCGGTGAAAAACCATGATTTGTCGCACTTGATTCACTTGACTTATTGCCTTTTTTGACATAAAATAACAGAAAGTGTAAAAAACGACAATTTAACTTTAAATGATACTCAAGATGTGAATTACTCATTTTTCAGACAAGCATGTTTTTACACTTTTAAAAAAGTAATAAGTCAATAGATAGTAAATGATTGGTAATTTGTCCTAAAATCGATTAGCTTGCACTATTGGAAGTGTTTACATACGCAAATATGTTTACACTTATATATATATATATATATATATATATATATATATATATATATATATATATATATATATATATATATATATATATATATATATATATATATCGTCTTCGGGGGAACCCATGACCTATAAGTTTGATTACAGACAGGGTCATTCCAGGCGATCGTAACTGATAGCAGCAGTTAACTCAAAACATAGTTTTAAATTCAGTCAGTGTCTTAAGTCAATGATTGAATTACTCCCAACTTTTACAATTTTTAATTAGCCAAGGTTCATCTTAAATTGGAATATATTTATTGGATGTAGTATATAATTTGACTAGTATATATTTAAATTTATCTTGATTAATAAATTTAACTAATAATATTATTCTACCCTATTGAAGACAACTATCAAACCAATGGTTGATTAGAGATACGAACTTATGCAACTGTAAAATGCTATCTTCATAGTTTTAAATATTGAACTTCTCTTAGCTAGGCTACCATTAAAAACCTGGAAGCATTGGACAGGGGTTTCATTCTAGTATAGAACTCCTCAGGATTGTTCATTTATGATACCTCATCCGTAAGTCAAACCAAAAACCCTTAGTCTCTCTCTCAAACTCCTAACCATTAGATTATTGAGCTGACAACCAGTGGTTTTAATATTTAACTTCGGTCAATTCATGATATTGGGCAAACCCTATACTTTATTTGTGATAGAAAACTATCTATATTCGCCGTGGATTGAACTTCACTAGTCATGACTCTTCATAAGAACTTTAAGAGTTTCTTCTTGAAGCTATTCACTGATGAGTACACGAATATCAACAATACATGGTGATTTTCATATGTTTGAACTGTGAAAATTCTACAATTTCCACAGATCTTCCTATACTACTGATTTCAGAAAAATATTCCTTGAGAAACGAAATACGCTTTTTGAATTCTGTGCATATAAAAACGGATCAATTAATCATACTTGATATTTACTGTTTACCAAACTAAACATGCTTCTCAAAATAGTTACTGATAACTGTTCTGAACGATCATCCCAAAACTGAAATCATTCCGAATAAGTCAAAACAGTTACAAACGATCTAAATTCATAGGAAATAATATCTGAGTAAGCAAAGGTTTGACGTACTTTGTTTTGTGAAATTGAGATGGATATTCTAAATAGGGGACTAGATTTTCATCATGGAAGGACTAATCAAACAAAAATTTTATATTGAACATCATGCTTTGTATGTTTTTTATTTCGTTGTGATTCTTTTTATCCTAAACAAAAATCTTGGTTTTTAATTATGTTATTCATTTTACCTATCAAACTATTAGTCATTGAAGGGAAATCTTACACCAGAATATGAGTTCATTCTATTTGGTAGGTTTTTGTTCCTCGATCATTCAAAACTACCAAAGGAACGTATTATTATTTATTTAAGTATAATTAAGTCAGTAATATCTAATTTGATACAGTTCGTATATTTTCAAACTTACTTCTACATAAAACATTCAAGATATGAGAAAAAACATATTCTAAGTACAGAAAATTATGTGTAAAATAGTGATTTCAAGCATGTAACTAATTTATAATATTATGTTTATTTTAATAATCTTACTTAAGCTACTTTGTTGTGAAGCATAGTCGGAACTCAGAGCATTATTTCGAGTTGATATACCTGTTCCATGAGTTTGACATCTTTCACCTTGACTATCCGATAGAATTTGATTTTTATTATTGCTGTACTTCCTTGGGGGTAATGGTGATAAACTTTGTTGATCAACAGATGTATTTACAGACAACTTTTGATCTATTACATAATTAAATTAAATAATGGGGAATTTTAATTAATACGTTGATGTTATAGATATAAACATCACATACTCTCTGCATGATAGAAATCTGATAGTATCATGTAATAAAGTGAAATAATATATACTACACCGAGAAATGTAATTCACTATGGAACAACATAACAGGTTGATCTAGGTTTTTAAAATAGTTCAGTTGAAACCATTATACTCTACACTTTTAGATAATGTAAACACTAGACATATTCAAAGTATCATTAAATCTACGGTTAGACTAATGTGATTCATACAATCGGAACCAATAATTGTAAGCGTTATCCTCACGTTATTACATTGTAGTTGTTCTTGGAGTTTTATTTTAACAGTAGATTTTATGATAGGGGTTCAAAGACAAGACTATACTAGTCTCAGCTTGTTTTTATCATATCTAATATCAAAAAAATTATTTCATAACTGAAATGCATTATTTTAATTTTATCCACTACTTTGTATTGCTACAAATGACTTAAGCTCATTTGTTTCTATACACTGATAGGTCCTTTGTTCTAATCCCGCGAGGTGGGATCAAAGATGTGCACTCCTGAGGAGTCCCACAACAGGACGGAACGGCCATCCAGTGCTTCCAGGTTTTCCATGGTGGTCTAGCTTTAATTGACTCATGATCTTAACCAATGAAATTACTTTATTACATTTGAAAAGTTTTTGTTTGACCGTTTATATTACTAGTGGCTTGGATGAAATTCATATACTACTGACATTCTTGTTCTCATTGTGTTAATATGCCTTTGATTATTGCCGAAGTTGAAATGCGAATGATAATGTGTATGTATTAAATACAAATAGTACATATTTTACGAAAATGATACTTCAGATGACTTTAAAATCATTTCAAATAATGATTTTTCGATTTTTGAGCCAAGTTACACACTCAATGTTGAATAACTAGTGTCACATTAAGAGATAAATAGAAAGGAAATACGAATCCATATTCAGAAAAAAGCTGAAGACTAGTCGATGTAAACTAACTTCAATGATCCTAAAATAATAGTGGAGAAAGTGAATAGATTTTATTCGAAAATAGATTAATTTAACATAAATAAGGGACTTCTTAGTTTTTAAAGCTTCAAATCTTAAAAGTAATCGCATGAATACCCACTTATGTGACTATGAATCATTCTTGTTACCTAACTTTACCACCTAACCTTAATTCTTAAAACTTAACTTCTAACCCTAACACTATTATTCAATTTTCTACAATAAATTGTACATATTAATTAGTTAATAACTGGATATATTTATCAATGTCACATTTAGAGTTACTGAAATTCTTCAATAAAATATATTTCTATTATATACTACTAAATGAAAAATGAAGTACATATAACATACGTGTTCCATGTCCATTATGTTTACTTCCATAATTTCTAAAACCTGTATCACGATTAATATTTAACTCATCATTAATATCTTCTTCATCTTCATATTTTCCAATAACTCTATTATATTTTTTGAAATTTAAACTTGTATTTGTTGGTGAAGAAGAGATTTGATTTAAATAACCATGTGTACGTCCAGTAGCACTACTTCCTGGTGAAGACGCAGTAACTTCATCTGTAAGACTACCACTTCCAGTACATCCATTGTCTCCAATCATTTTATTTAATTGATTACTTCGAAAATCACGTGAACGATTAAAATTGATATGAGGATTATTATTATTATTATTTGTACAACATGTCATTTGTAAATTAGGTGGGTTAATTACAGTGCCAGGAGGTTTGAATGGACTACGATTCCCCATATTTTTTAATTGTGATTGTTGACAATAAGGTGCATGACAATTAATTGAATTTTGAACACTTGATCCAAGATAAGATAATGTCATGTCACGTGATGCATTAATATTACCATTCAGTGACTCTACATTACGCTCATGCATGTCAGCTATGAAACAGTGAAAATGAAAAAATAAAGAGACTAATTTGTAATGGTTTGAATTATCCTGTTCTTGATATTTTCACTGAATTTTGATTAATATTAGTTGGAATATGTGCATCCTGTTTGGTCCATCATCATACAGTCATTGTGACATAAGTTTACATGGAATTAATAGGATGCACGTATATCCAGCATACAAGTCCCAAATAGGATGAAACGCGCCTACTGAATTCTGTTGTTAGTTACATCATGTTTAATCGAATAAAGAGTTAATCATCTAAATAAGTCATTATTATGTGTATAAACTCTCCTCTTATCATGGTCTTAAACTCATGTCATTTTCTCTTTTTCCCTATTCTTCTTTCACAACCATCTTCTTCAATTCTGTCTTCTTTTGCATGAACCTTTAGCCTCCAACTCAAATGTTTCTGTTTCTATAATCCATCTAGTAACAGTTTGTCTCAATTTCAACATTTTATCTTTACACGCTGAAAATTCTCTTTACAATTATAATTCTGTCTATCTACATGATGAATATTCAGAATCTCAACAATAACACTATTATCGTTTCCCTCAGTAAGAAAACGTTTTTATGCCTTTATTTTGCCTCACTGTTACCATGTTTAGCAAAGTTTTTATTATCACTATTACTGTCATTAGGCTGGTGGGTGGCCTATGCTCCACTGGGAGTAACAGGCATAGATAGGTAAGTAATTATTATCATTACTATCATTTGAATATTAAGTAATTATTCACGATTGTAAAGTTTTGAAAAGTAACTCCTAGAAAAAAGGACACTTCCTTGAACAAATCTTTTTGATTTCAATTCAGAAATCTCTATTCATTTCTCATATATATATGCCTCGTGAAACTGTAGTGTCAATATATTTTGCGATTAGAGTATCTGTATGAATTAAAAAACAACAGAAACTCCACCATGTAAGTTTTAGGTTCATTGCCTTATATCACCAAACAGAATTTGTAATTCATCACTTATTCAAACTCCTGTTTTCCTCTAACACACGGTAACTACTGATGGTAAGAGTAGGATATAATTGTTTGAATCAATTAAAATGTATAGATCAACTATTAACTGGCTAGTAATAAACACCCTGTCCTATCTATGGTACTAATCACGTATTATAAGGTATGTAGTGAGATATGAGGATGAAGTAAAATGGTCTTTATACGACTCCTTTTTGTTTGTAATTGGTTTCATTAGAGAGTAATGTGCGATTCTTGCATATCTTCAAGCTCTAGACAAGTTTAACAGTTCTATATAATCTCCCTATTTAATATCATTTAGAAAGGGAATATGTTGTCTTAACTTGATTCACATACTGTCCGATTTTCATCTCAATAAAGTACTCATAATTTCCATAAAATAATGTCTTACAAAATTTATTTCTTCTTCTGCTTTAATGTTCATGGTTATATAGTCATATTCATAGGCCACCTTGAAACCTATCCATTTGTTCATTTAAACAGTAATGATATATTTTACAAATGGTTATGGAATACACGACATTATACAGGCATGATGAGGCTGATAAGTTAGGATACATTACTTAAGAGAATATGACTCATAAACATTTTCGATTGAACATTTATCTTTTAGAAAACGGAAGAAGTTCATTGACTTATTAAAAAACAATGAAGTCATTCCCGAGAAGGAAATTTTCTTTTAGAAAATATCATTTTCTGAAACTGTACAATAGTATTTATGGCTAATTTTTTACGTGTAGCAGTTTATGGTAAAATAGAGGAGTTTTATATAATTATCAAAGATAGTCAAACTTATTCAAGTGAACGTCAATGAAAATGAAGTGATATTGAATAATTTAGCGAAATTTATCGAAGGTTTCAAGTATTGAGTATAAACACTGATAAATGTGTTTTATTTCAGGGTAATTAAAGCTTCGAAGTATTGGATAACACTGAGTTACATCATATAGCAAAGCCTACCTTATGTAACAGTTTTGAAAGTAATAAAATATAATTTATGAAATAAAAGATACAGATAACTGTCTACTTAATAAACGAAGAGAAGGGGGAGGTTATAAATAGCATTTATGTTTTATAAAATTCAAAGGGGTGCTAAAACCATGGGAAAATAAGGGAAAGAAAGTGACTCTTCTGTGTACAGAGCTCGGGTTTTAAATAATGAATTGCTACAGGTTTGGTTGTGCACAAATTCCCTATCCTGATATCTTTAGAGCCTGTTCTTTTTACTTTGTTGAGGATTTTATATGAAGATTTGCGTAGTGGGGTGAAAACTGACTTGACCATGTGACCGAGAACTGAGCTGTTGATTGATCTACATTTTCCTTTAGATAATCAGACAGGGTACTGCCAGGATTTCCGTTTGCTAAGTGCGCGCTTCGTATGACCAATTTAACCTTCTCCATCAGAGCGAATAAACAGTAAGGTGGCTCAAAGTGGCAGTATATCATTAGCACTTCTCTGAATGAGTTTCTTATTGGAGAGAACAGTTTGGAACTCTGCTGAATGAAAAGTTTTTTTCAAGAATCTCGATAGTATCTTCCTTAATATCTCAGCTGACGTTTTGGGTTCAGTTTACTATCAACGAACTTGGATAGGAAGCCATCCTCTATAAATGTTCGTCGCATTATATTCATCAAATGTGTTTTCAGTCCATATTCGTCTAGCTGGAAGAGGAACCAATAGAACTCCCATCGCGAAACCATTTATTTGTCTAAAGAGATCATCGCAAGATTTAAATTGCACGTTGAAAGTGAAGCATAAGGATAGCCCTTTTAGGAAATGTTTTGGTAAGCCGACGTCAACTTAGTCAAGGCCAATATAATCACATGAGGAGAAAATATTTTTCGTGGGAGAGACATCTGTGGATAAAGAAGTGACGTCTACCGACATCATTTTCGTTCCTAACATATTGCCGTTGGCTAATGAATTCACGAAATCCAGAGTCTGGAATGGTACATTTCCAAATCCAGTTTGTGACCAGTTGTAGAACTTCTACCAGCCGTTTGAGAATCGCATAGTATGAGAAATTATTCGTATGCATTATCGAATTAAGGGGGAGATCTCTCTTAGTTACTTTCAGGGGCCTATATAATCGTGGGATAGAAGAACTCAGTGGCTACAAATGTTCGAATAGGTCATTACCGATGACTGATTCACTTTTCATCTTTTTCAGTATCGTGGTCAAATTTAGTCCGATTTGATCGATGGTATGTTTTTTCGTTGGTTCTTTAGAAAACGTTCACTTATAATTAAGTATTGAGGATAATTTTTTCATGCAGTCCTTTCGATCCGTAAGAATAATCCCAACACCTTTTTCTTGATTAGGCAATTATAAATCTCTATTCTTCAAGAGATCATTTGAGATTTATGATGCTTTGATAGGAGTCTGTACACTGAGGTTTTCGAATCGATGTAATCATGGGAACAATTAGTGATATTTAATTTGAGTTGCGTGAAATAATTACTATAAAATGGGGTTGTCACATATTTGTCTAACAAGATTTTCAAATAATGATTTTGTGTGGAACTCATCAATTTTCTTAAAAGTCATCACAGAATTTTGGACCACGTGAAAGTGTTTAGATTTGGAACATGGATAATTATGCACAAGAATAGTTGAAAACATATTTCTCAGGAGGTTCTGGAAAGGCGGTTTGTAATACGTTTGTTCTTAACTTTTCACGAATCTCGGAGCCATGTCTTCAGAGCGTTTCTTCGCAACTGTTTAGATGTTTGCTTTTCCATATTGATATTGATGATGTGAAGTATGAGATGTATGCGAATTTCATAATTGAAAGTGACAACGATTTGAATTCTAATAATAAATATTTTTTAAATATCCCAATGAGTAGAAAAACTGTATTTCTGACGTTTTGTGACTTAATGTAAGCCACTTCTTCAGAGTAAATAAGTAACCGAATTAAATTAACACAAGTTTAAATAGTACAAAGGAAACAATGCAAAATATATTTTAGTACAATCAAAATCATAATATGTCTGAATAATATTGGTTAAGGTGGATTTATATGGCTAGTCATTGTAATAGTTTGTGTATCAAGGTGTGGGTATGAAAAATGTACTCATTTGTAATATGAAGTGGTTATGCGTCCGTGTGTGTGTAGAAATAATAAAAATAAGGTCAAGTGTGGCTGTTTAAATAAATAGTCCAGGTTGGATGGATATTCAGGCCTTTGTTCCTACTGAGGGCAGAGGGATTTAGCATTATGTGAGACTCTTCCTCTACTCGCCTCTCTTTGTAGCTGGAAAAGTCTTTCTGAATTATTTTGATATTTTTAATATCAATTGGGTGGTTACTGAAAATGGCATGTACTGCTATTGCTGATTGAATCTGTAAAGTTTCCAATTCTATAGGACTATAAGGAGGTCCTTTTGTGTAACTTTAATTTTCTTTGGCATGAATCGAGATCTCATGAGAAGACGCTCCAATATACAGAACTCATCACATTCGACAACATAATCTGTAGGCACAATTTTGTGTGGAAGTAAACGGGATCGTATCTTTTATTCTAAGTAAAGCGTTTCTTAGAGTGTTGATTGTCTTTTAGAAAGCTTTAATTTTGTAGGTTATTATTATCTACTGTCGTACTCTGGTGGTCAGGTAAAACCATAGTACCAATCCAAGAATTTTCATTAGGATTGTTATTTACAGACGGACAGTTTTGTTTTAATATGTTTTTAATAATACTTTTAGGAAAATTATCAAATTGTAGGATGTTTATTATATTTTCGTTTTTTAGTTTATCTTCTGAAGTAATGATGTTCTGAAGAGATTTAGGGCTAGAGAGATTCTTGCACTGAATGGATGTTCGGAGTTAAAATCAATATACCGATTTGAATGTGTCGGTTTTCGGTATATGGCTGGATTGAAACTGCCATTAGAATTCATCTTAACTAAACAGTCTGAGAAAGGTATCTCACGGTGTTCATCTTCCTTTCCGAAAGTAAATTTGATGTGTTTTGAGAGCGTGCTTATATGCTTGGATAAATTTCTAAGAAGAGTCTTTTTAGTGATGACAAGTGTGTCATCTACATATCTGAGCCATATGCATGGTCTGATGGTGCTGGCAAGAATAAACGACTCAATGTGGGACATAAATAAATTTGCAACAATCGGAGAAATTGGGGATCCCATGGCTACTCCATTCGTTTGCTTACATAAGGTCCCTTTGAAAGTGAAAAGCATTGAATTCAGGTATCGTTTGAGGGATTTCATGATTAACCTAGTGCTTAACAAGTATTTCCAGATTTAAATTATGGTACTTTTGCCGAAACTGGACATTGTAATAGTCATAAATCTAATGAGGATGCTGTTATCATTAATGGGTAATGTATGATAAACAGAGATATGCTAAAAAGGTCGTGTAATTAAAACATTATGTGGGTTTTATTTGGTCAGACATAACGCTTCTATGTTGGGAAATAAATAAAACAGCTAGGTCCTTTGAATCAATCATACTATTTACATCAATTTCATCTTCACTTTTTATCTAGATTATTCAACTGGATAACGTTGAATTTGAAAAATACAGTTGAATATCTTCTGACAGTTGATTTTGTTCAATAAATTCTAACGAAGCGGACTATAGTTCCCAAGTGGACAAATATAGCCTGTACTTCCTATTATCAAATCAAAATTTGTTGGTGAAACCACTGTCCAACTACTTAACAAAGCAGACTCAGGACGAAAAACATACAATTCCAAACTATTGTGGAAGGCTTCTTAAAGCTCTGATATTTCAGAATGTCTTCACTTTAGAGAATTGTGTAATGCTTATATCTTGTGTTGCTTATTTGTTTTCTGGGCAGAATCACAGCTGCTAGAAATCTCGTACTAAGTAATCTTACTCTCATCATGATTTATACAAACAGGATATTTTTCTCAGTGAGCATTCACTATTGCTATCATTGGCGCTTAAAAGAACCAGGCGAATGAAATTATACTGCATTAAACAGAAATTTTAAATACAGAATTATAAAATATGGTAGGGCATCTACTTTCATCAGACCCAAGTTAATGATATGGATCTTCACAACTATATAACAAACGACTTCGTTTATCAATGAAATTTAGCAAGTTGGAGCTAAAAAGTCGAATGAAATTTTGCTCATCAGTATTTAGTGAAAAAATTCATCAATAACAACAAATCATTAATAATAGATATTAGAAAGCAATTAAGTTAAACATGGTACTGGATTGATATGTTAACTGGATATTGATCAGTCTTATTTGACACATATTCATCCTATGTGGATTGCTTCAATATAATAATTATTCTACAAGTTTCTATATAACAGACGGTACGTGGCTACAAGCGAAGTTCAGGATGTGAGCTTTGTCCTATCTGGAACTCTTCGGCTATATACACATACACTTGATTTCACTGTTAATCATTACTCAATTTTACCATTAATTGACCAGTAAAAATAACACCGAACATGTACAAAGAAAAATCTCCATTGTCAGAAAATGTTGTTTATTATAACAATTAAAATCATCACTGAGAAAAGTCAAAGCCAAATAACAACACATATCACTTGAATGTATGGTAGCTACCGAAAATTTTAGTAGTCCACGATATCGCTCAACCATGTTGATCGGTTCACGACTCAACAATCTCCACAACCTTATACTGATATTTACCATGTACTCACTAGTGACTAGCCACGGGAAATAATTTTCAGAGTTCTAGTGAGAAACCGTGGACAGTGGAATTCAACCTTGTCGGGTGTGAGGTATTTACCCACCGAAGACAATGGAAGGACGAAACGGCCGTCCAGTGCTTCTATGATTTCAATGGTAGCCTAACATTGATCTGTTCATGATCTCAAATTATTTTTAAGTTTAACTCTTAATTTTGATAACAACATCTACATTACCATCCAATGATCTGCTAGAACTATAAAAGTAAACATATTCCGCATCACACAAGTATTCACTGGCATACATACATGGAATTCTACAAAATAATAACAACTTACCCGACAACTGTTTATTCAACCTAAATTTACCACAATTCATATCATTTTGCCAATTTCTACCACTTTCTTGACAATTATTTGTTAATTTCATTGAATTATTAGCATCGGTATCACTTTCGACTGATGTTGAATGCCGATCTTCAAAACACCCTCCACCAGATATACCAATATTGAATGCTCCAACATTAGGTATCCAGTTAATTGGTCCCGATGGTGTTGGTGCTGATGTATCAATCGACACACCACAATTACAATGACTACTAGTTAACAATGGTACTGTTTCATTAATCTTTTTTACACTGCAATCAGAATGTATACAATTAGAATGATGTGATGGGTAGATATTCATTCGTACATTTTGATTGAACTGGTCATTGGTTAGTGAATGCCCTGTGCGAACACCAATTGAACCGGAATTGGAACCAGCAGCTATAGTTTCTGTCGGGCTACAACTACCGAGTATATTTGCATTAAGACAAATATCATTCAGATTAAATGATGGATTCTTTTGTAAGCAATCATGTCGATGTATGGTTGTTTCATGTTGATGATGTTCTGAATACGATGTTTTATATGTTGACTTATCTGATACCCTAATTAATTGATCAAGTGAACAATAGGAAATAAAAATAAAACGATGAACGACAAAATTGAATTGGAAAGAAGAAAAATTAAAATTAAAAAAAGCGCTTAATTGGGGACTACTCAAAAAAGGTGCTCTAATGACTCACAGGAAAAACTCAATTTTAAACATCCGTTACTTAGTTAAAAGAATGATCAAGTCTAATGTAAATGGCTTATATCTAATATATAAACATCCGTTTTAAAGACAGTGAAAACTATCGAAAACAACTAAAGACAAGCCTCTTAATTCTTTAACCCATGTTAGTTAATGAAAACATTTATCACTCTAGGGAATCATGTAATAGATGGTATGACACCGCCACATGCTATATGGTTAGAGAAAATTGGCATATCCAGGAATTAGATCTATTGTTAGCATGGCGAAACTACCGAATCAAAGATTTAGTAGAGGTTCAAATTCGGGATCAACAGGTTGGATTGCGTAAGGATCAGTCGTGCACAGACCAAATCGAAACAGTACGGATCATTGTTGAGCGATGAGTTGAATGGAATTCTTTGCTATAAATCAACTTCCTTCACTATGAGAAACCATCTGACAGTGTGAATAGGAGGACCTCATGAAACCTTTGCTGACACTATGAAGTGAGTAAGTGAGAAGATCGGCAACATCATATGGAATTCATACCACTACCTACATTCTAAAGTCATGCATTGAGGACAGCTGATAGATGTATTCTAATTGAAATACGGCGTAAAGCAAGGACGCTTGATCTCGCCTTTTCCCTTCCTTCCGGTGTTTGACTGTATTATGAAGACCTCTACGTCTTAGGTGAACCACGGAATACAATAGACAGCTTGGATGCGGCTAGACGATTTGGAGTATGTGGATGAATTAATTATTCTATCCCATACACAGCTACAAATACAGGTTAAGACAACTAGTGTAGCAGCAGCCTCCACGGCATTAGGCCTCAACACATACAAAGGAAAAAGCAAGATCCTTTAATGGAGCACGGAGAACACCTGTCGAAAGCTCTGGGAGTGATGGAAACTTATACATACATACAAGGACAGCATCATCTATAAACATAGAAAATCTGATGCATATGTAAAGGTATCTATTAGAAAATTAAGGGCAACATTCATACAATTGGAAAACATATGGAACCCAGAACAACTGTCTGAAAGTCAACATCAAAGTAAGAATTCATTATACAAACATCAAGACAGTTCTGTTTTACGGAGCTGAAATTCGGAGAACTATCACAACCATCATCAAAGTTGTACAAGTATTTGCAATGAGTTGTCTATGCAGGTCACTCAATGTCCGCTGGCCGGATACCATCAGTAATAACCTACTGTGGGAGAGAACAAACGAGCATCCAGCTGGAGAGGAAATTAAGGAAAGATGTTGGAGCTGAGTTGGACATATATTGAGACCAGATCACAAATTTCGTCATAAATTGGAGGCAGACATCAAAGAAAGGAATAACACTTGGGAGTAACTATAGAAGAGAGATTGGGATAGAGTTAGTTTGACATTCGTGATCGGCGGCCTATTCTCCACAAGGAGTAATAGGCATAAGGAAGCAAGTAGTGGAATTCGAACGACGCATCACTTGCTGTCATATTCAGTAACAATTCTTAACATCCTCTTAGTTGCTTTCAACCATACAGCATCAAAACGTAATACAAGTTATCATATGAGTTTGGTAAGTGGTCACACTACCACTTGATCGATCATCTCCGATCCACATTGAAGATATACATAAGTATACATATCAATGTAAAACTTGAAATTCAGATTGTCCGAGAGATAAAACAATTTTTAGGTGATGAAAACAAAAACAGGATTAAAAAAGCATTTATAAAACATTTAAATACTGAAATAAACGGTTGGATAAAAATGACGTTGGATTTACAGCAAGTTAGAAATTAGTTGGTACATCAGGTACAAATTTTGTCTCGTAAGTAAGTGTATAAGGACCCATTAGCTTTTTTTAGTTTGTGTTAGCACTTAATAGGTACACTCTTAGCAGATACATCATAATGATTTCATCCAATGAGTTTTTGGCTTGAATACCAATCGGCTCACTTCACGAAGGACAATTGGAAAATATGATTCACGCTAACATTAGAATTTGTCTGAGACTGTTATCCTAGTTATTAAATGAAATTAATTAAATAGCTAATAAATGATCTTGATTACATGCCATACTGGTATATTGATTTTAGCCGTACTAATTCAACGAATGTCTTAACCAAACTGCCACTTTAACTTCTGGGAAATGTATATGTTGGTTACTTACAAGTAGTTCGAGTAATATAACAAAAGTTTCTTCCGAAAAGTAAATGATTAAATATACACAAAGTAAAATTTAACACAAGAAAACCAACCAAACATTTAATGAGCTAGATAACTGAACCCATTTGTTTATACAAGTCAAAAAAATATTTATATGTGAAAATATTCAGAATTGTATATAAAATTATGGATTGTTTACTTTTTTTGGTGACAGCAAGACAAAGTTCATTCTGCCATAACATCTGACTAATATTATTTATTATTTACAACTAAAATATCCTGACTTGCTAATCGGATTTACAGTTAACGCATCAATTATACTAACTACAATTTCGCCACTTTTATATTCAAAAACATGAGAAGTAGTCATTTGGAATTCACATACAGATTGTGAGACCAGTGTATAAGCATTATAGTTCAGCCATATCGAGAGTGAAACAAATATTACTAATAGTAAAGAGCGATGGTACCACGAATCAGTTCAAGTCAATAGTGTAAAGCAGTAGACCCTAGCTGTCTGAATCTCAAGTCTTCGACATATAGACTGAATATCACTGAAACGCGTTGTAAAATAATACCAGACTAGGATACAATAGATGTTCATTGCTTCATAATTTTTCTTCTTCTTCTTTAGTGAACTGAATAAATCCTTAAATTTATTGATTATCAGTTGCAAAAGATTTTTTTGATATATAAGGATACTTTCACACAGCTAAAGAGAAGTTTCCAGTATCAAGAATGATTAAATAAGCAACCAAAATGTATTAAACCTTTATAAAGCTAAAAGAATACAAAACGAAATGAGTTTACTACATTTCAAGGCTTTTCTTAGGTCACTTTAAGCCTCAAAAGAAATAAAATATTCTCTACATAAAGCATATTTTTATCACTGAATCAGATAGACAAAGTAAGGCTTATTTTCTGAAAAAAAGATCAACAGTACACTGAGATTTGTAGCTTAGATCACCAGGTGAACTTAGTTGGATAACTACTGAAAACCAAAAAGCAATGAACAGCTGTTTCGTCGTTGCATGGGACTCTTACGCGCTGAGAATTCACAACCTCACTATGAGTCGTACCCGGAACCTTCAGTTTCGCGTAAACTCTTGAGCTCAGGATCACTGAACTGGCATTCAATGATGTACATTTCCAAACTCGGTCAATTTTATGATATTGTACGACCAGCACCGGAAATATACATTCACGAAACACATAGCAGAGCGAAATTAGGACCTTCAGCTCCCACAATAGGCATCTTATCCTCAAACCGCTGGAACTCAATCTCAAAGGAAAGCCCTCATTTAGCCTATGATGAAAAATATGAAACTCAATAGTCTTTGCAAACTGACCAAGCTAACAAAAGAGATTTTCAGAATTATTCTTCTATTTGTTAGTCCTTAGCAATCATTGAGTAAATAGTGACATTATTAGTGAAAGTTGAAGATAACATAATTATTAATATTCCTTATTTCTGTAGCTCTCAATATCAAAGTAATAATAATGGTGTGTGTAATTCACACTAACTTTGAATTAAATCTTCTGGCCATTGTATGTTTAGTAGTTCGGATTATATAAATCATAATCTTATAGATAAAATAGATTTTTAAAATGAATGTTGACTCGTCATAAATAAGCTACTCAACTAATCTGACTACTATCAGTATTAAAAATAAAGTCGAATTTAATATCAGACAATTTCTGAAGTTTGTTTTTGAGATATAATATGATATTTTTAATAGACGTAAAGATATATATATGGATATACAGAGGGGGGAGGAGCGTGAGTAAAACTATCGACACAACTTATATATTTCACATAAGCAAATGCAATCGCATTATTGAGGAATTTCTCATAGGATGCACACATACCAAAAACAAAACTGATCAATTGCAGGTCTAAACATCAATGAGATTTAAACAAACAACAATACATATATATGGGTTAGAGATATAAACCGTTCTCTTCTTTCAACAAGGATTTTTATGTGACCCAATTTAAAGTAAAAAAAATAGATAAGTAGTAAAGATTATCAACTGCAAACTTTTGAAGAAATATTTGATTTAATGAATGAACGAGAAACTAACCCAACAGTAATTTGTACAGATGGAAAGCCGAAAACATTTATTGTAACTTTCAAGCTCGTATATTGTTTTATGTGTACAAGTATTTAGTCTGTTTACATGTGAACTACGATTTATTTATTTTAAACACAAAATCCTATTAGTTAGTGAGTCATGGGAAACTATGAAGGAATATATGATTCGATATTACTAATTAAGGAGTTCATAGAAGTGTCCTCCCGAATCTATATGGAATATTACCTAGAACTTTTAAGTATTTTGGTCCCATTAACTATGTCGAAATACATTGGTTCCCAGATTGGTCTACAGGTTTCATGACCTGAAGGTCATGAGATCGGTCATGAATGAACACTTCTGAAGATTGTCTAAGTAAGACGAAACAACATATTTCTAATCGAAGACTGTTAATGTGTATTAAGTTTATTTATATAGTGACTAGTTTCTTCTCATTAATTAACAGTTAGATATATTATTTAATGTAAATGTGGAAGGATTTCACAGTACATTTCAGTTAAATTTCTGAACATATTTGTTTTCGCATAAGTGGTCTTAGCTTATTGTTTGGTTTTGTATTTAACATCACAAATTGACTTAAACAAGAAAACCACTGGAAACTGAGAAGCACTGAATGGCTGGCAGTGTTAGGGATGAAGCTCAAGCTGCCCACCACTTCCTAGATTAAGATTGCCCTAGAGCAAAGTCACTCCATAGAGTTAACTATTTACTTGTTATTGATATTAATGAACAATCATTGACATGAGACTGAAACGAAATTATTTGTCATTTATATCCTTCGAGGCATATCATTATGACCTTTCTATGAAAATGAATCTTACTTGTGAAGTTAATGTATTATGCACTATCAAAGACGAAATAACATGCATACTTGCTTAAAGCTTAAATAATTGTAGCGTTGCTTGTATAAACTAACATGACACCAAACACAATGTATGCAGTTGATTGACTTTCCAGTCAACACACTCAGTTATGTATGATTTATTATTGTTTACTTTACATTTTAAAATATCAAGAATGACTAATATTGTTCTGAGTATAATTTAAGGTCAAATATGATCAGTGAATTTCTATAAGCATATCGTCCACATTACAATTCGAATACATTTTACATTGAGTGACTCATATTTCTATCACAAACTAAGTAAAACATTCATCTGGACAATATTGGACATTAGTTTGTGACTGTCATTAAAACCATAAATTTTAGGGGTATAGTTGTAAATATAAAAAAAATAGTAATAAGTTCAAATATTAACAAAATATGTACTCAATAAGTCTAGATGCACATACTTTTTTTTCTAAAATATGTGATGATATGACAAGCTGTGTAAAACATATCTCTGTCTATAACCATCACGATTTACTCATGTGATTTGTCCCCTTCATAACTGAAGTCGAACTTAAATCTAAACCGGTTATAGCGTGCTTACTGAAGCTCATTGTTATTAAAATTTAATCACTGTACAATTTATTGGTTTTTATATTTATCTTAAAACCAATCGTACCGTAATTAAAATAACAATAATAATTATTATTATTATTTATAGTCTATTGGTATTCATAGTATTCATTGTTTATTGTAGACTTGTTATTGTCGTAATATTTCTCTCCAATAATTAGAATTTTGATTGTTTTCTCTGAAGAAGACTAAGTAAGACTATGTAGTTGTAACATGATTACTGACGACTGGAACTAATGATTTGTAGGACTAGAAGGTGTGGTAGGTTCATGATTTTTTTGCATACAAAGATTAGATACAAATAAATGAATTGCTAGGATCTCAACCGTTCACTCAACTCTTTTCATTACCAATCGAATTAAGATAGTATTTATCAAGTTCAACTTTGATATACTCATCAATATGTTAATTTATCAACAAAATAAGACATTGCACAAATATACGCCACTACAAAAATTCCACAGTACACTGATATAGTAAAATGACATTAATAAAATGAATACCAAAAGAGAGCCTAAATATTAACAGTACCAATAATAATGAACATTACCACTATGAATATGGTAGGATGAATCCATAATGAAAATTTTAACTGGTTAAGAAAATAAATCATGAATTTAGTTGAACTACTGAAACAAATTTAGAATTTATCCTACTTAAAGTATGCTCACATTAGTCATAATTAATCGTATTTCTGTCTTCTTCTTATTCGAAGTGAAACTTCTCTCCCGAATTGAATGATCACAATGACATACGATGATTCAAAACTTGAATTCACCCTCGATATTCATATGATTTATTTTATAATATCAAATATGGTGTATTATTAAAATATTCTATTGAAATTGATGATTGATTAGTATTTTACAAACAATTGGGATAATTAATTTATTTTTAGGTTTCCTTGTTTAATTGTTTTTTTAATTGTCATTTTGTATTCACTATTGACTCAGTTGGAATTGTTGATATTACTTGACGTTAGTAATTAACATGACTAGGCAGTTTTACATAAATCATTCTAATGAAATTACAATCTAGTTAAATGTCAGTTTGTCAAATGACATTTTAATTTGATGATCGAAACACCACTTTACATTAGGATAACAGTGAGATGCTTTTTATAAAAGATATCATAACATTGATTAGACAAAAAATATCTGAATTATCCAGTAAAATAATTCATGATTTCAGCAAGTTGATGTAGATTCAGTGGTAAATGTAAAACATGTAGAGAATTTTAATTGACCACAGAACTTGTATGTTTAGATTTTTGAAGGGTTGAACTCCGTTTGAGTGCCATAGTAAATCATACAGAACTGGACAGTTGTCTGGTCCTAATGTGAAACTCTTCAGAAGTTTACATCCGCAGTCCCTTCAGAAATCTAATTTCAAAATATTCAAGTAATCCAGTGAATGCTTAGAATAATAGACTAAAATGGCTAACCGGTGTTCCCTGATTTTTAATTATTGGTACCTTAATGGAGATCAGTTTGTGACAAACACAACTTACAAATTCAACAAATTTCCAGGAATACCTTCAACAAAGCACAGTTTTATCAAAGTGTGAGACTTGTATTTACTGCCAAGTTTTAAGTTATATTTCACAGTGACCGGAGAATAATTAAAATTTAACTGCCTCATCTAAAATTGGGACTTCTTAGCGTTATGACCCCACTACACCACACACATAGGAATCTAAGAAATTCATATTTCACATAAGAATAGCAAACAACTAAATTCAAATTCAGTGCCTCAACAACCTGTCACCGAAGCTGAGAGGATCTATTTAAACGTTAGTCAGTAGTAGGCATGTGGTTTCTATCACTACGTGATGAAAATTAACGCTGGATTTAGTAAGTAATATTGTAAGAAAACCTGGGTTTATTAAATGGTAGATTTTTATAATCACACAAAAACAGACATTTATAATGTGAAACCAGGAAAAAGGCGACATTGTTTTAACAAAAATACTTAATAAGGTATTGTTGATTTGATTGCCATGAACCATAAATTATTGAATATTATTGTAGAAATGTGGTGAGTAAATAAACAAGCACAATCCACTATGTGGTATAGAAAATGATACAAGAAGCAGTGCGACAGAAAAAAACTACCTTTATCTTACAGTTCTGCATTCAACCTTAAACGTGTTTTAAATATTAAGTTAGTACTTGTGAAGTGCTTGAGAATAGTTAACGTGAATCCCTGAACATAAGCTTCGAGTTATCTCTCAATAATTACTAATACGTACCTGAAATCTTGTGAGATCTTATACCCTCTATGAAATTCAGGCTCACTTTTAACAGGACATGATCACCACTTAAAAGCTAAGCAAACAAGATATTGGCTATTATTTAAATTTAGAATCCATGTACGTAACAAAAGTTCGTTTATTTATCAAAATCAGTTTGACCAAATAATTTATTTTCATATTACTCAAGATTCTTTAATTTGTAACAGCATTTTCGTTCTATTTAATTACGAAGAATATCTCTACTCTACATAACTTTATAAGTTTATCATTCGAATTCATATATTTCCATAGACATTAATCTGTAAGTTCAGCATTTCCTTTATTTTTCTTTCATAATTTTCACTTTCAGTCTTTTAATTTAACATAACTGAATCATCCCCAGTATGAAATTATTGTTTATACTGTCTAAAAAGTTACGATCATAATGTTATTATCATCGTCATCAGCATCATTATTAATAATAATAATATTTTAATCTTATTCACTGTCCAATATTCACTACTGATTGGCGCCAAATATTATTATGTTTTTACTTTACCTTTTATTTAATCTTTAAAAAAAATTATGAATAATAATAACATCATGAATAAATACGGTAGGTGAATAAAAATATTTTCAAGAAAGTTTATTGTTTTCTTAAATCCGAGAAAAAAAACAAAAACAAAATTCCATTTCTATTTAATCAGTAAATACAATTATTTAGGCCAATTAAGACTGATGTTAGACACTAACACCATTGGATGCTAGCTCAATGGTCCAGTAGGTTAGGCGTTCGCGCGCAAGACTAAGGGCTCTGAGTTTGAATTCTGCGAGCAGGATCTTGGATGCGTACTGCCAAGGAGTCCCCAAAAAATAGGACGAAACGGTCGTCTAATGCTTCCAGGTTTCCAGCGATGGCCGAACATCAATCTGTTCATGATCCCAATCAAACGACATAATAATCTCCACAACCTCTATACTGATGACATATACAAGCCAAATATATAAAAACTTTAATGAAGTATATTTATTTATTTTTATCAATAGTTCCTATTCAAATAGAGTATTATTAAATAATAAACATTTAAATAAATCAGAAGGGAATTTTGTGAAGATTTTAATAATTTCAATTGTTGAGATCATGAGTTAATTGAAGCTAGACCACCATGGAAAACCTGGAAGCACTCAACATCCTACAATAGGATGAAATGACCGTCCAGTGCTTCCAGGTTTCCAACAATGATCTAGCTTCAATTGGCTCATGATCTCAACAATTGAAATTTAAATATATAACAAAAAGAAAAAAAACTTTTTTTAAAAATTATATATATTGTAACTAACCTTTTAGTTAAATTTGTAGTGAATTTTATTTTTCGACAACGAATTAATAATGCTAAAGTAATAATAATCATAATGACTAATGCACAACCAATTGCACCACCCAATATAATCCAGTGTATATTTTCAATATCAATTAATTTATTATTATTATTAGTTGTATAAATAGGATCATTTGTTCTTATTAATTTATTTAATTCATTTTCATTAGGAAATGGTTGAATTTTATCGAATGTTTCATGAATATCATTTAAATTATAATAATCTTTTGTAAATTGAATGATTCCACCACCAGATCCATCGGCTTTTTATGATAAATAAAGTAAGAGAAGGAAAAAAAAGAGTGGAGACATAAGAAAGTAACAATAAAAATAAACAATGATATTTTGAATTAGTTATATGTAATGATGAAAAAACAAATTTTTTTTATTAGGTGTTTGACAAATCTGATTAAAGGAAATGCATTAAAGAGATATTTCAAGCCGACAATATATATATATATATATATATATATATATATATATATATATATATAAAATTGCATGTTGTTGCACAAAGGTAATGTGAATTATGAAATGCATTCTTCTTTTTCAAAGCTTTGGACTACAGAATGTTACAAGTCGATTTTTTTTACCTTGGAAGTTGACGACTACTAATGATAAGGATAATTGCTTCTCAATGCAACTTGGTTATAGGTTATGTATGGTGGCAAGCAGTAGAATTCAGGATGTGTGTTTCCTCCCATTTAAGACTCATCAGCTGGACGTACATGAATCACAGAGTTGAGATTCACTCAAGACTTAAACCCAGTACTGTTCGTTTCAAACGTCATCGAGTTATCTACTTAGCTAATGGGTCCAGATAGCCACTAGCTTATGTAATCATGTGAAGTTCAATACATGTTTATATTGGTTATATGAATCTTCCCATTCATGTTGAGGATTGCAAGTGATCAATCTCTTATTGGCATATGTTCATCCTGTGACTTCAGGCAATATCAAAACAAACTACATAGGATGTCCATGAGCTAATAAGTGACTGGTGAAGTGCAGTGTTAAACAACAATGAGAAGACTCAAACAAACAATAGAAAAATGAATTAGTGGTAGGATGTTACAAAAGTAGTATCATCTCTCTTCTCATTGACTAAGGATGAAAGTGTGTTGGTGTTTTCAAACTGTTATCAATTAGTTGGAAGCAGTTAGCAGGTAATACAATGGATAATTGTTTTGTACTGATTAGCGAATGTCAATAAAGTATCAATGAAATATTGGACTCATTCATACCTCTAATAAGTTTCGAACCTGCATCAATCATTTCAAAGGTAGAAAGTGTTAACAATAAGTTTGTTCATTCAGTTTAAACTTAATCTTTAGTTAACTTTTTACTATAATCGAATTATTTTGATGAAACGTTGAGTTAATTCACTTATACGTAGCTATAAATCAATAACAAGGAACTAGAGTCGATATGTATTGGATTTCATGTTTAATACATATTCAATAGTTAAGAGCATTGTTATTATTCAAGTTGAAGGTTCTTAACAGAAATGCTGAGAAAAAAACATTGTGTAATAGAGGATTATAACTAACGTAGTATAATCATAAGAATACATTACGTAACAAGGAAAATATTGTGCCCAAGTTACCGTGAAAATTAGCTCTAATAAAAATACGCAGATAATAAAAGATAAATAGATAATTAAGAGCGAACTGAATTAAAGAGGAATGAATACAAAAGGTAGTTGTGAATAATAATTTCTGTTCTGTACATTACGATAAGGTTGTCTCAAATGTTAGTCACTCAGTATACAAGCTAATAGAAATATGAAGCATTACGAGATAGGCTTCGTATTAAGTAAAGTCGAAATTTCACTTCAACACTAATAAGTAAATAATCTGACTGTCAACTATTTTATCGAGAAAATAATAAATTTGGTATTTGCTAGGTTTGAAGCGGTTACGAGTTCACTTAGGCTACAAACGGAACAAAGACTTGTGACCAAAGACCAATAAACAAGCTATTCTATTGCGTCCCATCCCCACTAACTAGAGAGAGAAGTTGAAGTCCGAACGAGGAAGTATATCCTACAAACAGCCGGAAAACGAGCGATACCAACAGACACAAATCAAAACTGTCCTTGGGGAGAGTTACAAAATAGCATACTAAAAGACACAACGGACCAATAGCATTTAAGGTTCTCCCAAATGGGAAATAAGACATGAAGGTGAAAAGAGCGCTTTCGGCGCAAAAACAAAAAAATTCAAATTTTCTAAATAATATTACAAAATTAAGTTCTTTTCCAAGCGAGTTGGGGGGATCCAACGTCCTCAGCAATATTATCTTATAAAGAGAATAACGCTAACAATCACCAACAAGCTGGGATTTAATAAACTGAACATACTGAACGAAGAGTACATTGGTTGATGAACAGAAATCATAACTATACCTGATAGCATCTAATCAATCACCTACATTATTCATACTTGCAATATCTTAATCATTAGAGAACTCAGTTTCTGCCATAATAATGATAATTCTTTGTCAGCTGGATACAACTTTAAATAGTGCCAAGAAAATTCAAATTAATTAATCCCAGAAAACAAACAAGTTTAGTGTCCCTGTCCTTAAGGATCGCAATAAGGACGTTTAGGTCTCACAGCATATGCTTGACAATAAGTTAATTTGTTTGAATAATTGACTTTTAACCCTTTAATTTCCAGAAATCAAAATGAATAATTATATTGATTGAAAGAAAACAATCAGTAAATGATATTGATACGTTACAACACAATTGGAGCTTATTTTTTACTTTTATGTCAGTACTTTCAGTATAACACACAATTTCGATAAAAAAAAACACAAGATATTTATTATACTGATCAGTTTAGCGTCAATTCAAAACGTCTATTGATTTATGTTCAATGATAATTTTATGATAAACATTTTCCTAGAAGCGTGATCATATCAGATAAACAAAGTGAGTGAACTATTATAATTCTTGAAGTTAGGTGTTTGAATATTGGTCAATTATTGTTTTAATACCTAACACACGTTTAAAATTTCATTTGTTTATAACTCTGAAAATCAAAGTCCATGTTAATCATCAATGAATATCCCACGATTATTATAATATTATTATTAATATTATTCATGACATTCTTGTATTGTCTTTATATCTTCAGAGAATAACAAATTTATAACTACTTACAGTTAGTAATGTAAACAAATCTCTAGTTAAATATAAATAAAAATTTCACTCATCAGTTTATCTTTATTTTCAAGATAACTGATAGGAAATGCATAAGACTGACACAATTGAATTTCTGATTTTTTGATAAAGTGATAAGGTCTATTTAAACGGTCTATATAGATATCTGATATGTTCAATGCTTAAATGTGTTTATCATATATTTGTTTATTAAACATCAAATAAAACCGTGAATCTGAAAAAACATTCTCAACACGAACAAAGGTTCATTGTAAAATAATTGAAAACAACTTAAAAATGATCAGTCATTTCGTTGTAATCTGAAAATTCAGAATGATAAGCACTCTGCGACTCACATGAAATAGAACCTAGTATTTTCCTAACTTAAGGCAAGCTATTCAAATTGATTGATTTTTCCGTATAAACTCATTTATTTGATGCTAAAATCAACTTTTGTTTGACGATATTGTTTAGTCATTAGAATTCATTCATAGGGGGAGTACACCGCAGAAGAAACTCAAACTACAATGTTTAGACATTTTTAACTTTACTTCAACGAAATAGAACTCCTTCTATAACTTTTCAAAGCTTAACAGTTGGTTTCGTACTACTGAATAACTTAAATCCCTATCTGTGACGGAATAACTAGATGGATGAACTTAGGTTAAAAGTAGGAATTAATGAACGAAATAGTATACTGAAAATTCGGTGGTTATACAAATTGTAAATTTTCTTCGATAATAAATAACAATAATAGATAAAAACTTTCGTTTAAATTTGATCGAATAGTTTCACAGTATTATTTCACAGCGTTATTTCCTTGAAAAAGCTTGGACCAGATTGCCAGGCCAAACGTTGGATTTACTTCAACGTCTTTCGCAGAGATTTTGCAACTACATTGTTCCTCTTTAGTAAAACAGTATACTGCTTCTAGGCTTTAAAAAAATGAAGTTTCAAAAGTCCATGTTGTACGGATAAATAGTAAACGTTTCTGGACTTTTGAAAATAGGTTTCATCAATCATTAACGTCAACAAAAGAATGTTCATAAACTAATAAGCTGTAAATAAATGTTTTGTACTAACATGAGACTCCCGAAGAAAGCTCTTCCTTACAGTAGACAGGGTGCAGTACTCTTAATTTTTTGCGAAAAGTAACTATCCTATCAACCACTAATTCATTATCTCAATACAACTAATTAAATAAATTTAGATCCACTTAACATTTATTTATATAGGTGTCCATACATCCTAAACAAAAGAAAAAAAGCCCAGTTAATAAAACCCACTTGACGTTTACAGTTTTACGCAAAAATCGAAGGAATCTACTGTATTTTATTAGTGGCAATAAGTTAAACTTCATCATTTCATTCATTAGAAATGAATCTGAGAACGAATATTATTATCAAAAATATTACGTAATTAGACCTATAACAAACTGTATGTTTGGCTAATAATCTTCAAAATTCTCTATTCATGACTGAATAGTACTTTGGGAAGTTTTAATTTCATAAAAATGTTTTAATGGAAATTTCATCACTACAAGCGACCGAATCCTTAAAACTACTTCGTAGAATAAATATTAACTAGTTTGTAATTCTTCTCAATAAACTCTTATCATGTTCTGCAAGTAACCAATTAAATCAATGATTCAAATGAATGTTCAAGTTTTAAGTGAATACATCTTTGGAAATCATATATAAATGAATTTCATATTGTTAGTAAAGATAAGAGCAAACTAATATTATTAATATCAGTATTTTTTATGAATATCATGGTAATTTCAGTGATTGAAATCTTGAGTCGATTGGAGCTAGAACACCCTGGAAAACCTGGAAGCACTAGACGGCTGTTTCGTGCTATTTTGGGACCCCTCAGAAGTGCTTAATCCACGATCCCGCCTAGCGAGATTCGAAATCTGGACCTATAGCTTAACCTCTAGACTACTGGGCTGGCATCCAACAGTGTTAATGTCTAACTTCAACTAGCGATACATCCACCATTGTCGTCAGTGAGTTACTATCTCACAACAGACCTGGTTGAACTCCACTGGTCACTGCTTTTTACTAAAACTCCAGGAAATACCACTTGAAGCCA